TACAAAAAATCACAAAGTGGTGAATTTTTTGTTCAAGTGTAGACTTACCATGAATATCTACACTCCTCAACTCGGGCCCACTTATCGAGACAACCAAACCTAAATCACTTTAGTCATCTTCTCCACCGTACCTAATCTATCCGCCTTTCGTCTCCACCGCAACCATTTTTTCCGGCGACAAGCTTTTCTTCTTTCAGCCATGTGATTTTTATGGAAAGACTTGTGCAAACAAACGTCTCCGGTGACGACGAGTTTATTCTCGGTGGGATGGAGACCCTCGACCACCACTACCGAAGAAGCCGGGACGGAGATCTTCATCTCTTTTAGTGAAGACCTCTACAACAGATCCGACGAGCTTGACAACTCTCGAAGCCTTCTAGCTCAATGCTAAGATCTTGTACTAGACTATCATCCATGTTTTGTTACAAACCTCTAGCATCGTGCTATGTCTCGCAGTTTCACTTCTCATCATCCATGGCCTTGGTTTTGTTACAGATCTATGAACAAAGCAAGATTGTGTTTTTAATCGCACCAGATCTTTGCTCTTGTAACATATCTGAGTTTTGGCTCTTCCTTTCATATAGAGGAACTATGCCCGGATCTCTTAAACAAATCTCAGTCTCCTCATCGAAACGACAGAAATGGACCGCGGCGGTGGCATGATGGCTCCATCGGAGACTGAGAAACCACACGCAGATTTGATCTCTGGTGCCCCAAATATCTAGCCAAATGCTAAGCTTTTAGTTTTCGATCTATAACTCAAGATATCTCTTCTGACGACGTGTCTTTGGAACTCGAAAGTACACTCTCCTAGAGATTAATTTTGGAGCTCTAGCGTTGGTGCTCCCCTAGAGTTTCTCACGACAACTAGCATCTAAAGCAAATCTCATTTTCCCGGTGACTTCTTTTGACGACGACAACGACAACTCTTGCCTTTTTTTCCTTTTTTACGGTGTATTTTTGCTGGTGATTTCTTCATTACAAATCCGTTAATCAAATAGTTGAGTTATTTGACCCAAAAAAAACAAGATGAAAATCTACATGTATTCTTCTACAAAAATCTAACAAAATGCTATGTACCTTCATAAATACACAGTCATATACAAACTGAAAAAACATATATACAATTAATGGTTATATTGCAGATTTTTATAGAGTTGAATGCATTGATTTATATTTTTCTAAGTTTAGGGTAATTTTACAAAAAAAATAGTGTGGAGGGTTATTTTACAGATTTTTATAGAATTGACTGAATTGATTTGCATTTTTTTTAACCGAGAGGTAGTTTTGCCAAAAAAAAATTATTGTAGACGGTTATTTTGCAGAAAAACCAATAAACAAAGTAGCTGAAAATCTTTTATTTCCGTCAGAAATCGTAGAGGAAAAAAATATATTATCTTATCGACTCTTTTCTCCTCCGAAAGTCCCACAAAAGCCCATTAGAAAAATGTCGTCAGCCTATTGTCCCTCCGCCGTCGCGGTATCCGCCGCAGCCACCGCTACCTTCAAGCCGTTACTCTCCTTCCATTCCAATTTCCGACTCTTCTACGGCTATTCACCTAAATCCTTCAAACTCGTTGCCACTTGCCCTAATTCACTCTTCCTCCTTTCGAACATCCGTCGCCACCGCTTCTTCTGCGCCGCCGATATCGAAGACGAATTACCGGCGACCTCT